TAGAAATGGGTTGTTGAAGCACGTACTCGGAGCTCCATCTACTACTATTAACAACAACCCGAGAAGGGCGGAATGGGTCCTAAGTGAACGTACGGTAGATGCTGAAGGTTCATTCCATGCGACTATGACTTGTATTGCTGCCGACTTCATTGTAGAAGCGGGTCCCAATGACCCCAAATTCTTCGAAAAGGCATGTCGAATGAAAAAATCCCTGTACGGGTTTGGAGTTGTTACATCGCATTCAAGACCGCACGACATGCTCTCGAAAGGCTCTGCAGTTCAAGCACTCGTGTTCGATGACGAACCGCAAATTGTACCTACACCTGCGGAAGATGAAAGAATTGCTTACATTGATGAGCTGCACGTAGCTTACTTTGCAATCGAAACATTTATGAAAATGCAGGATGCATATCAAGAGACACCTTTCGCTGTTGTCAAGAAATGCCAGTTCACTTCCGGATTTATTTATGTTGACGTCCACAAGCCATTTCAATTCTTGAAGCTCACGGACTCTGTCCGAAGAGTTGGACTAGTTCACGCCTGTCACAGTGACCGTACCACACAATGTCTTAAACCCGAAGAGAATAATTTGAGTTGCACTGCCTCGATCATGGAGGGGAATATTTTCTACTGCTTATCCAGGCACGACGGTTACCCTCCTCGAATGGCTTAGTTCTCCGCATGTGTTCCCTGACTTATCGCTGCGTTGAAAATCGGAGCGGCCGTAGTTCCGGATGAGCAAGGAGTCGCCAGTGATGACCATCGCGAGATTGCAAAGCGACTAGTCGAAGCGCAGGCGCTTGAGAGACTGGAGAGCGTTGTCGAAGAGGAAGAAGCAGAACCGGCGGACAACGCTAATCCCCAATTACCCGAAGGCAATGAAGTCGCCCGGAGATTGGGGGGTGGAACAGAATAAAAAGCTGCTCGGAACAGAAGAAAAAAAGCGGAGAAGGAAGCAGAGTCGCAGCTCCGTGTTGAGGCGGAGCAGGCCAGCATCGCTACATGCGCACCGAAGATGCGTACAACGCACACACCAGTAATTCGCACAACCACGCTTGCACGCGGCAGCCCGACTTCCTTAACACCGAGCTCGGTGTAGCTCTTCAGCGCGACGAGCCGCAAGCGATAGGGAGTTTTCCAAGGAGCCACTTGTGATCATTCGCGCGCCGCACGGCCCGTGCGACGTGCGGCACGGGCAGACGACGAGGGCCCAATTAAAAATAGATGAATGAAGTCATTGTAGAGACAGCCAATTAAAACAAGTAGCACACATAAGTTCCACTCTCCGATGTCGTTCGACATTTCCGATCTCCCGACACAATATCGCACTACCGCTCGTAACCTGCACCCATCTGCAACATTATCTGGCCTCCATGACTCCCACTCACTGCGCCTCCCACGGCTGAATTCTACATCTGAGCGGGAGAGGAAATCCTCTCGATCGTTTCATGCAGGATGGCGACCAACAAACCCCACACAGGCTCGCTCACGGCTGGGAGCTTGGCAGCAATTACTCACCATGTATCGAATGTGTTTTCTTCTTCTCGGTTTCTTCACGCTATACTACTTCATATTTGCCAAACATCACTACCACGACAGCGAGATGCGTGCTATTCACGCCGATGTCGAAAAGCTTCTCCGTGAAACCAGCAATTCCATCCTCAGTGATAACCTCGTAGAAGCGGTACTTCCTGACAGGTTTAACGAGACACTCAATCATAATCTCAGTACGCACAGATTTCAAACTAACACGCTCTTCTCCAGAGTTGTCTTCAGAATCCGTCCCATCGTTTCCAACCTTCATTGATCTGTACACATCCCAGTCCGCATCGTCCACCCCAAACGTGTCCTCCTCCACATTTTTCTTCCCACGCCCTCTCCCTCGTCCCCTCCCCTGGCCCCTCCTTCTTCCCTTCCCACTTCCTCTCTCGCGCCCCTTTGAGTTCCCTCGCCCTGGGTCTTCGTCGAAACCTGCATTGCTTCCTGCTTGTTGTGCCAACAACCTCATTCGTTCCTTTGCAGCCTGCCACCGCCGATCCCACCTCGCTTCGCGCGCGGCGTCCTTTCGATTTAAACGCTCAGCTAGCTCATCTCGCTCCGTTCGCAGTTCGGTCAGATACTCTTGTGGCCTCTCCATGCCCATCTTCTCTATATCCTCAGCCTTCCTCTACGCTTCCGCCTTCGCCGCGAGCTTGACCCTTTCCCCCGTAACCGTGCTTCCGTAGCCCCGCAAAGCGCGCGCTCGTGCCGCTTTTGCTTGAGTTACGGCGCGCTCAGCTCTGACATCGACAGAAGCTCGTCTGCTCGTACGCGCTTCTACCACGCCACCTCCGCTGCCCTTGCCTTTCCCGCGCTCAATTTGGCACGTTCGTCATCCACGAGCAGCTGCCGCTTGTCGATCTCTTGGTTCAGCGCTGTCGACGATTCCCACTGTCCGACGCACATGGAAATGTAGTACTTGTCCTCATCTATATCCCTCATATCTTCAATACACAACCTCCTCCAGTGTATACGATGTATCCACTGGCTCTGCCTCTGTCCCCGACACATCCTTATCCCTTCCGCCGGCTCTTGACATCTTCCACCGTGTCCACTGGCTCTGCCTCTGTCCCCGACACATCCTTATCCCTTCCGCCGGCTCTTGAATTCTTTTTATCCTGCATTAACTTATTCAACCTCCTCCTATTATCAATTCTCGCCTCCTCCTCCGCGCTCGTCGCCGTCTTATCACTCGCCTCCCCAGTTTCCACCTTGACTGTCTTTGACACTTCGTCAAAGTTATCTGGTTCCTCTCTAATTTTCTTCCACTCGGCATCATAGCATGGCGCATGCGGGCGACATACGGTGGGGTTTGTAAGATTGGCATGGAGGAGCCTGAGAAGGCGGCCACAATGTGGACGACACGAGATCGAAGATGAAGTCTTGCGAGTTGAGATGAGAGGGCGGGGCGCGGGGCGCGGTAGGCAGAGGGGACGGTGAAGGGGGGTGGAGGAGGGTCGATCAGATACACATCAGGGGGTGGGCGGATGACCTCTTTTTGCTCGACCATGGCGGGGGATGTGCGTGGTATTTGGGGTAAGTCGGCAGGGTTGCGCACCACTTCGGAATCTGGTTGCCGAGAGAAAGGACGGGACGAAGCCCCGTTTGTCCTTTGGTGACTTCGGGAAACAAAACTTGGGGGTCTTGCCTGCCACGTGTAAAAAAAGACGAGCGTGCTTTTTCATGACGAATTCATAGTGACAGGAAGCCTTTCCCAAGGCTCAGACTACTGTACTGAAATGCAGTCTCTGGTACCTGGGATACTAATTGAGGTCCTCTGGGACATCGAATTAACCAAAGGGGAAGGACGAAGGCGAGGTGAGAGAACGCTTGCATCCGTCTGGTGGCGGGCAGAGTTAGTAACTAAGGAAGTGGTCGAGGGAAGAGTGAAAGGGAAACTGAAATACGTGGCAAGGGAGGGGTTCGATGAACAACAAGCGATGGTGTGGATTCTTCCTGATTATATTCGCTTGGTGGAAGATGACGCCACTCAGTTGCGGTGGCGTTATTATGAGTGCTCAGGACAGGTGAGCTATGAAACAGACGGAGAAATTTTTAATCGCCAGAGCGAAAATGGAGTTGGTGATGGGGAGGCGGTACAAAATTTGCGAATGTATAGCGTGGAGGGGAAAGTGGCTACGCTTTTATCTCGAGTTGAAGAAATCGAGCGCATGGTTGTTGGCCAGTTTCAATTCTTTTCTCGGATCGGGTCTGGATCAACGGCAGAACGGCAATGTGCACGTCTCCTAAATACTTTGAGACAGAAAACATTGGTACTCATCCAGAAGCCGGTACCAAACTTCAAACCGCGACAAGGGGATACGGAGCAGGACACACACTACGAAGAGAGCTCTACCGGAAGCATTCGTTCAGTGGTAGACTGCACCTTGGAAGAGTATGAGAACTTGGCCCGCGCTGTTCATTCGTTGTCCGATTCTGCCCAGTTCAAGCCCTCGTTCCAGGAAACCCAGTCTCTCGCAGCGTGCACCGAGCTCGCAGAGATAATTTTCCCATCATGCAAAGATTTGTGCACAGTTATTGGCATAAACTCTGTCGCGGACATGAGAAATATTGTGCGACGGAGGAAAGGAGGAGGAAAAGAAGGAACCGTGCATGAAGCGATTCGCATTATGGGGCTGTATGTCGCAGATGAGACCGATGAGAATTCGGCGGCGGCACTGCTGGTGGGAACATGTATGCCATACGTTCGTCGCAAGGCGACGGTCGATGCCCTTGTCCGAAAGAGCCGAGATTTCGATTTTCGAAGTATGTCGTACACTCACCCTCTCTCACGTTCATCACTTCAAGCAGTTGACCTTGTAAGCAAGGTTTTCGCGGTAAGGCTTTCAGCCACACCGAGCGAGGTGTCGGAGGACGAGGCTGTAAAGACTGTTTTCTCGGAGTTGAAAACTTTCTCTTTCCGGTGGCGTCCGATGGTTCCCCCGAACAGTCGATTCTGGAGTACAGCTACATCCGTTTCTGAACACGTTTGCGGGTCTCTCGAAGTTGAGCTCCCCTACTTCATTATTAGAGGCTTTCAGGCCGTGTCCGAAGTCAGCTATTTGGTTACAGATGAGTACTTGACGCACGTATTTTGTACAAAGGGTCAACCACACATGAGCACCTAGTCACGTATGTCGTCGTAGACACATCTATGAATTGTGAAAGTCTCAGAGACTTCAAAAAGTTGTCGAACGTTTCAGTACAAACGCGTTAAATGATTCAGTGCAAGGCCATTTGGTAATTTTTTTTGTGGTTGAGCTCTTACATGTTATGACATGGAGCTCCTCCGACGCTGGGATATCCTGGCGGTTGGACATGATGCGAGCTGGGCTCTTACTGCGAGGCGTGCGGGTGGTACGTCTGATCGTCGAGACGTCTGATCATCGAGACCTGCCTCGGCGACTTTGAGGGCTCCTTCTTTTACCCTTCCCTTCACGCTAACGCCCCGCTTTCGGCCAATGCTACAGAGCGGTATAGAGCTAGCGGGACAAAATTTGGATGTGAGCTACGTCAGTGCTCTTAGTTGGTACCTTCTTAGCATGTTTGGGAATGGTGGTTTGCTCTCATTAATTTCGAAAGGACACTCTGATGACTTCGTCTTTGTTCCAAGCTTTGCCTCGCAAATTTCACTCAATATGGCACCTGACAAGGTTTTTGCCCAGGAAAGAGAAGCTCTTGGCAAAATCGTCCACAAACACACTATGGGCCAGGAAGAGGACGCACTTCTGATGATTGACCCGGAGTCGTTTGCCGTTCTCTAGACTTTAGTTTGTTATATTTACACGAAGTCCAATCAACCAATGCTTGTTCTCTTCCTCAAATGTACAATACAGCCTTCTACCACCGCAAACTACTTCCAGTGCTAACATGTGCCCAGATTTTCGTTGAAGGTGCGTCCCTTAAAATGGTTAGGGCTGGTCAGTGGCGCGCATTGCGCTACAGCCAGAACGCCGTTGTATTAAATGATATTCAAAAGCTCTGAGCGTTCGTATCGTTCTGGCCCGTATTCGTCGTCGTCTTCCTCGAGCAAGGCACATCGCATGCTTGGATAGAACGGGACAAGACCCTCTTGTGCGTAAATGTAAAGCATATTATATATTCGCCAGTATACTTCCCGTACTTTCCGGGCAGGATGAAATAGCCCTTGCAGGACGTAGAGGAGCATAGCCCTGGACCCAGGGCAGCCGTAAGACCCTGTATGGCGAACATCACAGCGTTGATTACATGGGGAAGCCTCTGTGGCAAGGACTTCGATTGCATAAGGGCAAAACGCTGGGGGCTTTCTTGAAAGCGATCGGGTTCATCATCCCATTAATGGATCCCGAATACGCCAATTACTATGCGAGGGAGGTGACAACGATTCTAATACGAGAGTTCCGCTCTCCAGAGGAAGAAATGAAGGTGATAGTTCTGAAAGTTGTGATGCAGTGTGTGTCTTGTTCCGGTGTTGAGCCAAAATATGTCCGTGAAGAGATCGTTCCAGAATATTTTCGATGCTTCTGGATTCGACGGATGGCCTTAGATCGGCGTAACTTTCGGGCGGTTGTCGACACAACATTGCAGATAGCCATCAAGATTGGGGGGGCGATGTTATCGCGCGATTAACGGACGATTTGAAGGATGAATCTGACCCGTACCGACGAATGGTAGTCGAAACAATTGAGAAAGTGACGGAGAAACTCGGTCTTTATGACGTTGACAAGGGACTCGAATCTCGCTTAATAGATGGACTTCTATACGCGTCAACCACACCCTCGATCTCATCCAGACCTGCCTCGGCGACTTTGAGGGCTCCTTCTTTTACCCGGGCCCGGAGCCCTCGTTCGTCGACATCTCTGTAAGTCCTCATCACCTTTGTCCTCGCTTTTTTTGCTTCTCCAAACAATGCCCGCCTGATCCTAACACCCCTTCCTCCCCAGCCACGATCTTCGAGCGCGCCCGCTCCTCTCTCAAGTTCTGGCGCAACCTGGAGCTAGCCGACGACCGCCCGAACCTACGCCGCTGGTTTGCCGCGCGGGACGCCTGGGAGCCCGCCACGTACCTGCAGAGCGACGACTGAACCCACATCGGCGCCCTGCCGCCGCAGATCGGTCCGGTGTCCTTCCTGCGCCCGCGGAGCCCGGTGTCGCTGGCCGTCGAGACGGCCCGCGGCAAGCACGTGCTCAACGATAGCCATGAGGGCGCCCAACACCGTAAGCAGGCCGCCAACGCCATCTGCCGCAACCACGCCGCTGTCACGAAGGACGCCATGCGCGGCGTCAAGGGATGCCCGGACGAGTTTCATAGCGTCACGGACTTTGCTTTCAGGGTGCTTAGCGAGGTCCTGTTGGACCCGTCTAAGCTGGAGGAGGCGGAGATCCGGGTTAGGGAGACTGTTAAGACCGAAGAATGGGTCATGCTTGGACATGCTCTTCGGTTTGAACGAGTGAGATGCTGCTCGGAAAAAGTTGGGGGATACATGGTGGTGCAATTCGTTCATTCATTGGGTGACTATGGAGGTAGGATAAACTATATCGGTTCCGCCCTGTTCACTCTTGCCGACATGAGCAGCCGAAATGATTTTTTCGAATGCTGATCGCACCCCTCATGCGATTTTCCCGAGTGATGTCCTCCACTAGAACGAGCTCCGACTTTTTCACCTGCTCTAATACTGCAGCTTCTGATAGTGAAGGCGTGCGATTGTTGGCATGCAGCTTAGCGCGTACTGCTGAACCCGTCTTGACACTGGTCGTGCAAATCCGAACTTTACGTAACCTATCAGGGCAGAAATGTTAGTCTAGCATTCCCGCCATATCATCATCGTCACTGTCGAAATCATCTTCCAAATCTTCTGTTTGATGTCTCCACTCATTGGTGCCGCTTAGCACAGCGCTTTCGCTGCTGTCAATGTCTTGCGGTGCAGAAATGTTTAATCTGGCGAATGTCTCTTTGGAGATTTTCAACACCCCACTGATAACCTTCTCTTTCTCCGATCTACCCGGTAACATCTCTCGCAGCGTGATTTCGGGTATCAAAGATTGGCTCCTCTCACTTGTCACGTCACCACTGACAGCTGTTGCCTCATCATGCGTTGCCGTTGTACTTGAAGGATTGTAGCTCGCCCGAACAGAGAACAATTGCCTCAGAAACCGAGCAATCCGATAGATTGTTCGAAGCATTGACGCATGTGATCCAAGAGTCATTTCCTCACCACAATGGCAATAGGCGCAGACGAAGCGCAGAGCAATTCGCAAGATGTTAATGTTGCGCTTGATCTCTGTGACACGGTTTTCGCCGTTCGAACCACCAGTGACGGTGACCTGATAAGTCGCCTGTATCACCAGGTCTTTGCTTTCCGATATAAGAGCAGCCAGAAGCTTCCGATTGGTGACGGATGTGTGTGTATCCCACCCTACAGTAGTGTCAGGGATCTCGGAAGCGGGGACGGATTCCGCATCACTGTGCAAAAATCGAAAGGTGGGTGACGAGTGCGAGCGATGGAAAGAGTCATATTCACTCCAGTTAACCAGTAGAAAGAGGCCGCTCTCGAACATTTTGACCTTTGAGCGATCCCGAGAGATTCTCAAACAGTCGTTAATAATAGTGACGATCCTCTTGCATATGAACAGATGTTTGCGCCTAGTCGGGCAGGAGGGATCCGGAGGTAACTCGGCCTTCACGCACTCGTGATGCATTCGCGCGGTGTGCAGCGTTTGCTTGTCCAAAACACCTGGTTGCAGCCAAGAAGGCTTCGTAGAAACAGAAACATCAATTCCATTGCGGTCAGCATCCCTATCAATAAAGGCTTTGGTTGTTGTAAATTCTGCCGCATATGCTCGTATACTTTCGTCGGAGAGATTTCTTGCGTTCATCACCGCACGTTTGGCTGTACTGAAGCGAAAACTTGCATGCTTTTTGCCCAGTCCGTGTTTGAATTCTGAACGAGATTTGTTATGTTTGAGCCCGAACAAGAGGACGCTGACGACACGCGATGTCATCCGGGGGTCATCCTGGTTATTGTGATAGACATCCATAAACGAAGATAGAGTCTGTGCAAGCGATCTTGACACGGTATCCGCGTTCACTGCCGCATTGATTTCGATAATAACTGTGGGGTTGTCTTTGAGAACGTCCTTTTCCAGGTTCTTAGTTGCACCTTTCCGAGACCCTCCCTGCACCCTTGATCGAGATGGTATTCGCGAACTACCTGCAGAGCTTTGAAGAATGAGGAGTTTGATGTCCTCTAAACTGGACGCCGTATTGGCATTGCTTTTCACTAGGTCCGATAATGTGGCATTGCAGCTGGCCAGCTCTTCTGCCAACCTCTTGTGCATTGCCACTATGGATCGCTGCAACTCAGTGCTCTCAAGCGCGGATGAATTCGATCGGGGTGCGTGCAAGGTAGGGTTCGAACGTGCAACAGGCTGTAACTCGGTGCTCTCAAGCGCAGATGAATTCGACAGGGGTACCCGCGCAGTAGGGTTCGAACGTGTGGCCTCAGTCTGAGAGGGTCTTAGTCTTCGACGCTTCTCGGCGCTTCCAATTCCGGCCTGTAATGGCAATGGACGCCTCTTATGCGCGGACACTGTACGTCGCAGACCCATGTTTCCTTGTGCTTCTTTTTGGGGGCTGGATGATGGCGAAGCTATGACTTGGAATGAAGGTCCCACAGAATCTGTCCGAAATCGCAAACGGGAAGATCTCCGCCGTGTCTTATCTGCACCCGAAGACGCTGGTGTGTGTGATTGAAGGGAAGAAGGTTCTGTAGTGTGAAGAGGTTGGCGCGGTGATGAAGGAGGCGACGACGTGTCTGGAGAAGGAGGTCGGTGAGATGCGAGAACGGCTGATTTCGCGCGAGGGGGTAACGAAGATCGCAGATTTGATGGAGGAGGACAAGTGGTGCGTTCGGAAGTCGAAATGTTTTCCTGGGGTGTGAGGAGTGCCTTCGAAGTTGAAGGGATGTTTTCGGAACCACTATGCGTAAAACGACGTACATACCGCCTGGAAGAATTGCCCATCACGTTGGGAAGCGCGGCAAACTCGAACTGCGACTGTTTGTGCAGATCACTTAACTGTTTCGCGGGAAAACATTTTTCAGAAGTATGTATTAGTTGATTGCAAAGACAGCTTCTACCATGCCCGCCACTTCCACCATTCGCACGCTGCGCCGCCCGCGCGCGCCACCCCCGGGGCCGATGTGCCGGCGCTGCGCGCCCGCGCCGGCCTTCGCGTTGCCGCCGCCGGTCTTGGTGGGCGTGCTGGCGGTGGTGTCCGTGTCGGTGACGCTGGCCTTCAACACACTTCTGCCGCCGCGCGCGCGCGTCTCGCTGCCGCGCCTAGCGCGCCGCCTGCGCCTGCTGCTGCCGCGCGCGTCGCGCCGCGCGTCGCGCCGCCCGCCGCCCGCGCCCGCCGCCCGACCCCGTGGCCCAGCTGGACGGGCTGCGCGCACGCGCCGTGGCACAGCTGGACAACGAGCGCATCGCCTCGGCCGCGCGCCTCTCGCACGACGACTTCGTCACCCTGCCCGGCCTCCAGCGCCGCGAGCTGCTCGCCACCGCCTTCGCCGAGATCGCCAACGCCCCGCCGCACAAGCGAGCCCCGCCCGCGCACACGGTCGCGCCCGCCGTCGACGCTTCCACCCCCGCCGCAGGCGATGGCCGCGCCGCCGTCAGGCCGGCGCGCTTCTTCTGGAACGCCGCCGAGAGCGTCAACGGTCGCGCCGCCGCGCTCGGCTTCGTGCTTTGCTTCGCAAGGGAGGTGCTCGAGCCCGGACATCCGTCGCTTGTGGACCAGGTCGTCGATGTCGTCGTCCCTATCGCGCAGAAGACGCCCCCGTTTCTTGTCGCCGTCGTCGACCAGATCGTCGACTTGCTCACGTGATTACCGCGCGGAGGGCCAGGGGAGGGAAGGCCCGCGTTTGGGGACTATCGTAGTGTAGATGCGCGTCGTAGAGTAGTGCGCGTGGTACTTGTTCGTCCTATCCGCTCGCGTTGACGCCGGGGGGGCGAGGGAGCCCGTCTCTTGCATTTCGACGCCGAGTGCCGTTTCGAGGGCCGAAGGTTTTGCCGAAACGCCTCCCGTGCTCGACTCAAGATCAGTCTCCATCCCAACAACATTCGGAATAAATTGTTCCAATTTCTCCCTCCCGTGCCTGCGCCGGCCGGCCAAACTTCCACTACCCCATCC